TACCACGCTTTTGGTTGGCCAAGAGCAAAGCACTACCAAGATCCACATGATCTTGGCCTTCAAGGTGATGCTGGCCTGATGCCACAACAATAACAGGATGATGATGACGATGATCTAGGGTTGGTTGAGATCTTGATCAGCCACCCTACTGCCACAGTCACACAGCCCCCTAGCCAAGGGGGGAAGCTTGGGCTGCTGCAAAACTGCTGCTGCAGCAGTAGAAAAATAGTATAAAAAAATAATGTGGTGCAGCCCCCTAGCCAGGGGAGTCTTCAGTCTTTAGAGCAGACTGCCACGTAGCACTGCAGATGGCCACGTGCGCTGGAAGCAGCGGCCACGGATGGGGGGGCGGTAAAAATAGCAGCCCGACCGTTGCTGCCTTGTTGGGGGGGGGGGGGGGGGGGGGGGGGGGGGGGGTAAATAGCTGGCACGCACCTCTTCGACAGCAACGTGTCACACTACAAAGCCATACATACAGTATGGCGAGTGTGTTACAGGAGCAGCCACACACGCGCAAGGCCAGCAGCTGCCTGGGTTCAAACCCCAATGGTAGCAAGATCCTGGATCTTGATAATATAAATCTGGGAGCCGGGCGGGGCGGGGCAGCGTGGGCACGTGGCGCGTGCGTGTGCGTGTGCGGCGGCCTTGGCCTTGGTGCTTGCGCGCACGCGTCGTGATGGCACTCTTTTTTTCGCCACGTGGCAACTTCCCGCTGCCCTTTTTTTTTTTCCCTTCGTTTTCAGCTGCAAACCGCCCGGAAAACAGTGAAAAACCCACTGTCGGGTTTTGCTGTTTTCCCTGCTGTGCGGTGGGGGGGGGGGCGGGGAACGTTCCCGCTCCGATGCTAGTGTGGCGGACCCACCCGGTGTGGTGCTCTACCTAGACAGAGATGGAGATGGAGGAAGAAAGGGCAGCGAACAGGGGTATACCCCAACCGACTGACGAGACTGGACTGGACTGGCTGGTACCGACAGAGGTACCGGCCTGGACTGGACTTCCCCGAATACAACACAGGCCTTTGAAAACAGGCCAAGGGATGGTCTCACAGGTCAGCCAGAGGTCCACTACACTCGTGTTCTTTTCTTCTTCCTTTATCTCGTGATTCCACTTATCTTCCTTTTTCCTTCCTTTTCCCTTCATCACTTCCCCTCGCCTTCTCTATCCCTCTCTATCTCATTCACTTGCACTCTCTGCGTGTCTTCCTGGTATACGATCCCGTTTTTGGTTGTACTGCGACACACGTTTACAATCACGCACCACTATCGCCTTCGTAATTCGCTTGCTTGCATGCTAGTGCCCGCTGCTCACTTGTGCGTGTCTAACCCTTTTTACTGTCTCTCATTCACGTTCAAGTTTGTTTTTGTGCACATGCTCTCGCTTGTTTGTCTGCCTGTGAGTCGGCTTTTGCTGCCGCATGTATTTGTGCTTGATTTGCTTGCTACCACTCAAGCTCGTGTATACTCACTCTTATGTTTACTATGACGCTCACATTCTTCTTGTTTGTTTCAACTTATGTTTGCGCCTGCTTTTACTTTCTTTAGCTTGCTCTACATCGACCCCTATAGCGCTTGTTCTGACTCGTGACCGTGCTTGCATTTTACCTACCACACCCATTTTCGCTCTTGTGCATGTTTTCATCCTTTATTAGAGTTCGTGACGAAACTCTCGTTCTTTAATCGGTAAAAATTTGGTCAGTACCTTCGAACGAACTAAATAGTAGAATGAAAATAATAAAAATACAAAGTTACTTACCTCAAACGTTTTTCTTCAAAGAGTCGTTCGTAGTTTAAGACCAACACAAGTGCTGGTTACGTTCCGATTACCGAGGTACGTGCTAAAGAGTTATTTAGTAATTCGGGTACAAAGTCTCAACCTCACACCCGAAACGACTTCCTTATCAACTGCAAAAACTGTTGTGGAACAGGTGAGTCTCTTTCCTCCCTTACTTCTCGTTTCCTTCCCCTTCCTCCTCGTCATGATTCTAATTTTTTTCTTTTTCTTTGTCCTCCATTCTTTCTTTTTTTCCGCTAGTTCATGTTCATGTTGTTGCTCATATTTGTGCCCCTTCACAACCCCGTTCCAATCGCAATGACATTCCCCGTTCGTTCATTTTCTCAATCGTGTTTTTCTTCTAAATGTTTGTTGCTCTCGTTCATTTATTCCTCCCCCTCATATTCTTCCTTCCTTTTCGTTCACTATTTGTCTCCCCTCACATTTGCGCACACTTTCTACATTCGCACCTTTGCTAGTTCACACTCACGCTTGCATTTGCATTCGAGCTTCTTGTTCGTTTATGTGTGCTTCCCTCTTCCCGCTAGTTCTTTCTCTCACGTTCGTCTGCTCTCCTGCTTGCACGTGCTTACGGCCGTGGTTACTTTCGAGCTCTCGCTATTGATCTCCACTATCTTGCTTAACTAGCGGCCACACAACCACACTCACTTTTGCTTTCGCCCGTAGCCAACACTCACACTAATTCATGGAGGCATGTAACCCGCTAGCGCTTGCTTTCTCACTATCTTGCTTGCTCTCGTTTTCACGCGCTTGGTGCATGCTAGTACTAGTTACTCGATTGTAATTACCTTCTTGCCTGTTATTTTACATCTACTTGCGTCAACGCCCGCTCATGCTTGCGTTCCTGCCTGCAACCGCTCATATTCGGGATCGTGTTCGTGATCACCCTAACACTCGTTTGTTCATTCAGTTATCAATTGCTGCTCGATAGCGCTCGTGCTCACTTCTCCTTCCCTCCATTCGTACAAGCGACATCCTTGCCACTACCTTTGGATTTGACCAATCTCGACTTACAATCTCTATCTCACCGAAGATCAGATCATGAATGTTTGAATCTGGACATACCTACGATTTGGAAGCAGCTTCTCACTCTTGTTAAAGGAATTGTCACCTCCAATTATGACAAATTCATTATTGGTGCTTTATCGAATTTTTGAAATAATAATAAGGCTACCAGCCGGGCCGCCCGGGTCACCTTATTTTCCCGGACGACCAAACCGTGCAAGGACTAAGGAAGGTCCCAGCCAAAAAAAAAATCCAAAAAATACAAAACAAAAAACTATGTTATGTAGAAAAATAAACTAAACATTTTTTGCCTTTGGGTCACATCGAAATTCTTTACCAAATTTAAAATAAAAAGTTATATTAAAAATATATATATATTTTTTTTTTTATTTATTTATTTTTGGTCCGACCGGTGTAGGGCCCCGTTAGACTTTTGAGCCTGAGTCGACCCCATTGCGAGTCTCAGTTGGCTCGGCCAGCCCACGCTCATGCTCATAGCGTGGAGCATTCGTCACTGTGTCACCCCCACCTAGTGCTTTGAGATGGATGGGTTGGACCATCAGGCGAGAGAACTTTAACATTGGGGATGTAGCTCAGCCCTCACGTCGGGTGGTAGTCTCACTGATATTTTCCGCATGCGTAGTTTTTCTGATGCTCGGTTGTGTTCGCAGACAATTGCACCTTCCAATACTCAAGCAGTCCAGAGGTTCCTTGACAGTTTCTCTTCTCTTGCTCGTAGGCTAAGGGTCATCCTTAGGCCATGCACCATTAACACAACAATCCTATGGCCTCATCGGGGCGCGGCGGTGTCGTCTCTCCCCTTTGCCTCCTATGTACTTTGTCGATCAACACATTCTATTCATGACTTTGGTGCCTGCCCGTTAGTCTTTTCGGGGCCCCCATCCGCATACAAAGAGCTACTTTACATTTCAATCGCTTGAAACTTCACTCATTTCTCATTCCGCAATTAAGATCTCATACACAAAGACCCCATTCATAGGTAGAGTTTTACACTAAGGGCCCCTTGGCCCTTGACCCTTTCCCCTTTTTTTTGCTGCTCGGCCTACCCGGCCCAGTCCTGCTTAAGACATTTCAATGCTACTCACCTGCACAGTCAAACGCAAATGCAAAGATTGATAACATAACCCTTCCCACATGCCTAACTTTCAGAAAACAGGCTAGCACTGATACAGAAAACACAGACATCCTAAGGACTGGGTTGTTTTCCCCAATGGTAAGTAGCACACTGGAAAAACAACCCAGTTTTTAATAGCAAACAACCTAGCACTGATACAAAAAACATAGATATCAAAATACGCAGGTTCTGCATAAGCACATTTGGGCCGGCGTGGGTGTTTGCGATGCCGCCAGGACGGTCATACCTCCTCGTGGTGCCCTTACACCGCCGCCCTCGACCGTGACTACGCTGACCTTCCCGCCAACGTCGTGCTCGTTCCCCCCCGGCGCCTCACATCCCCGTGGCGCCTCCTAGCCACGGTGCAGTGTACACCTGCGCCCTCCTCAGTAGTCGGCTTTCCGACATCCCCATCGCGGTTTGCCCCTCTCGCTACTGGAGTTGAGGTATCACAGGACCCGACAGAGTGTACTCAGCCCCCTGTCGCAGTACTGTCTTCGCCTCCGCAGACCACCATCTCCCCTCCTACCCCGCCGAGACTACCGACGTGTCGAGCCATTCGTTCAGCTCGTTGCAGCGAGCAGCTTGCGACTCGCGAGGACGTTGTGTCCTCTCTTCTGGACTTGAGCATGCTCCAGACTCGTCAGGAGCGACTCAACCTCCATGTCGCCGCACTGAGTCGCCTTCTCACCATCCTCTCTGACCCTGATCGCACCCTCCCGATCATTCTCGTACGACTGGGGACCTCCACGAGGGTGTACTCAGCGCTGTAGGATTCTGGTTCTCAGGGCGACTTCATTCACCCATGTGTGGTGAAAGAAGCCCGCTTACCCACGACAGAGTCTCCGACTCTCATCTCCGTCACCCTAGAGGATGACAAGACCCATTGCTTCTTCGATCAGACGGTCACCGACCTCCTTTTCTTCCTCACTCTCGAGCCGACTGATCGTTCCCCGGCGTCTCGTCGCCACCGCTCCTCCGCACATTTCGATGTGATGGAGACGGGGTACGATTTCATTCTTGGTACTCCGTGGTCTCGCCGGTTCCGTAGCACCGAGGTTGATTGGGCGACCAAAACTCTCGTTCTCAAAAGGAAGTGTGGACAGACGTATCGCGTACCTTTCATAGGTACCACKGCGACACCACGCCCCGATCCTCCTCCCCCGGAGCCTTCCGTGCCCACACTATCTCCTTCTATCATTGTTACCTCGCCTCGGCAGTTCGCCCACTTCATTCGACAGGACGACGTCACCTTCTTTATGGTGAACATAACGGATCTCTTACACTATGATTCACCCTGTCCCGACGTCGAGCTCATTCCTCTGGAGCCTGATCCTCCTTCTATCTCCATGGCTCCCATCTCTACTTCCTTCCCTCCGCCGTCCGTCGATTCCACCCCGCCGTCGCTCGCTGACGCTGAAGCTGAGGAACTCGCACGCTATACGGCCAACCCGGAGTCCGCAGTTCGTGACCTCATTCGAGAGTACCACGACGTTTTCCCATCGTCGTTCTCGTATGCCGGCATCCCACCGATGCGTGACGTCGAGCACTCCATCCAGCTCGTGCCTAACTATCGTGTTCACCACCAGGTACCCTACAGACTCTCGATCCCCGAGGCCACCGAACTCAAGCGTCAGCTTGAGGAGCTCCTGAGACTGGGTTTCATTAAACCCAGCAACTCCCCGTGGGGTGCACCCATCCTCTTTGCTCGCAAAGCGGATGGAACTCTCCGTTTCTGCGTCGACTATCGCGGCCTCAACCGCTACACAGTTAAGAACAGTTACATCATGCCTCATTCCGACGAGCTGTTCGACCGCCTAGCAGGCAACCGCTTCTTTACGAAGATTGATCTTCGTAGCCGTTACCATCAGATCTGCGTTGCTGCAGCCGATCAGCTGAAAACCGCGTTCCGATCGCGATTCGGCCACTACGATTTCACCAATGCACCCGCTACCTTTCAAAGGGCGATGAACGACATCTTCAGGGACATCCTGGAGCAGTACGTTCTCGTCTACCTCGACGATATCCTGGTCTACAGTCGTACCCTTGAGGAGCGCCTCAGACACCTCCGCGACGTCCTTGACTGCTTGCGCAGACATGGCTTCTACGCCAAGCTGAGCAAGTGCCGTTTTGCCCAGCACAAAGTGGATTTCTTAGGACACTACGTGTCTGACCAGGGTCTCCACATGGACGACGCGAAGATCACTGCTAGTGCGGAGTGGCCCCTCCCCACATCCGCCAAGCAGCTTTGCAACTTCCTAGGTCTCACCAGCTACTATAGTAATTTCGTCCAGGGCTACGCTAGGTATTCCTATGTCCTTACCTCCACCCTCCTCCGGAAGAACCCGCCCTTGGCTTGGACACCCTTCCACGAGGACGCCTTCCACGCCCTCAAGAAGGCGGTGACATGCCCACCGATTCTTCACCTACCTGATTTTGATCGCCCTTTTATCCTTACCACCGATGCGTCAGACTTTGCTGTAAGAGCAGTGTTTTCTCATATTTTTCCCTCCTCTCCTGATTCCTCTCATCCTCGTATCCCTCGCTTCCCACCCCATACCCCTACCACTGCCTCTCGTCTGACGCCTACTCGTCCCGCTCAGGTGATTGTCTGATAGTCTTCTACTCCCGTCAGCTCCTGCCCGCCGAGATAAACTACACCGCTGATGAACGTGAGGTTCTCGCAGTAGTTTATGCCGCTCGGCACTGGCGTCACTACCCTGTCTCTTATACACATCTAGATGTGTATAAGAGACAGGTTCGCCGCTCGGCACTGGCGTCACTACCTGCACGGGGCACCATTCACGGTGCGCATGGACAACTCTGTTGTCCAGACTTTTCTGACAAAACCGAAGCTTACTCCTCGACAGGCTCGCTGGTGGCGCGACCTATCCGAGTTTAGTTTCACCACTGAGTACATCAAGGGTGAGACTACTCGGGTCGCAGATGCCTTATCCCGGCGCCTTGACCACGATCAGGAGCAGATCCAACTCGCTTCCATCTCGGTCACCACCGTCCATCACTCGGTGATCGACGAGTTTCGCACTCAGTACCACCACTGCCCCGACTATCGCGATATCCATGCGACCCTTCGGAATGGTAAGACCGTCCCGAACTACTATCTCGGGGACAACGGTCTTGTGTACAATTACGGTTCACGGGGCACCAGAGAGCCCCGTATTTGCGTTCCCTCTACTAGATAGCTACGTGTCCGGGCAGTCGCAGAGTTTCATGACCAGGCAGCCACTGGTCGTATGGGCTTCCACAAGACGTTGGCTCGTGTGAGCCACCTGTACGTCTGGCCGAAGCGCAAGGACTTTGTGAAGGACTACGTCGCAAAGTGTCCCACTTGTTAGGAGGTGAACAGCGCGAACCACTTGCCTTATGGTTTGCTCCAACCTCTTCCTATCCCTGAGGGGCGTTGGCAGTCCATCTCGATGGACTTTATCCGTCCTCTTCGTCCTCCGACCCCCCGCGGTCATGATGCTATCCTGGTCGTCCTCGACTGCTTCACGAAGCGTGCACCCTTTGTTCCATGCCGCTATGCCATCAGTGCACGTGAGGTCGTCGACATCGTGTTTGACCGAGTCGTGCGTGACCACGGCTTACCTCTGAGCATCATATCTGACCGTGATCTGCGCTTTACCAGCCGATTCTATCGACGGTTCCACGAGGTTTACGGCACCCAGCTCCGCTTCTCCTGGTCTTACCATCCTCAGACTGATGGTCAGACCGAGGTCATGAATAGGACTCTCGGAGATATTCTCCGAAAGATTGTTCGTGACGACGAGCAGTGGGATCTCCATCTTGCCCACGCGGAAATACCCTACAACCACGCCGTCTCACCAGCCACGGGGATGTCGCCTTACTATTGCGACCTCGGCTATCACCCTCGTGTTCCCGTGGATTTCCTTCGACCGTCACAGATGCACCCCGACACCAGTTGTCCCGCGCTGGATGATTGGGTTTCACACGTGACGTTGCTCATGAAGGCCGCACATGAACACATAGCCGCTTCCCAGACTCGCATGGCGGCACGTGCGAACCGATCGAGGATGGATCATCCATTCAAAGTCGGTGATGATGTGCTTATCGACGTCCACCACTTACAGCTTGAAGCGGACACGCTTCGCAAGTTTCGGCGTCGCTTCTTTGGTCCATGCCGCATCCTCCAGGCCGTCGGTTCTGATACGGCATCTAGTCCAGTCAGCTTCCGTGTGAAGCTGCTCGACGACCTATGCCAGGCTCGTGTGCACGATGTCTACCACGTCTCGTTACTGCGCCCGTACCGCAGACCGTCTGAGCGTTTCGTCGGACGACCATACGAGCGCCCTCCACCCATCATGGTGGACGACCACGAGGAGTTCCTTGTTTCAGACATCATTGGTCGCCGAGTCACCGACGACAACCCTCCCCACGTCGAGTATCTCGTACGTTGGAAGCGTTACCCTGATGAGGAGGCTACTTGGGAGCCCCTCGAGCACTTGCAGCATGCTCGCATGTTGGTGCGTGTCTATGACCGTGCTCGTCGTGCTGGGTCAACTGCTCCCCCTCAGCCCACTGACCCCCCTCCTTCTCCCTCGGCTGAGGAGACCGCTGAAGTCAAGCCTGCCCCTTCTGAGGCAGACCTTCAGCAGCAGCCGGATGCTACTGAGCGTCCAGAGCGCACTCATCGTCGTCCTGCTTGATACGACGATTGACTCTAACTTACCTTCCCACGTCTTTGACTTCTCAGTACTCCATCCACCCCAGTTTTGCTACTTCAGCTCGTCGACGTTGCGACGTTTCCTCGACGGCATTCCGGACTTCTCATCGTGGACATCATCAGCAGCTTCATGGGCTTCGTCACGATCAGCTCTGCCTACTTCAAATGTAATCACTCTCTTACCACTTTACCCTGTACAGTACCCTGGTTGTGTCGCATGATGGTCTCCCTTCGTTGGGTTCCTCTGAGTTGGGCTCTCCCTTGGTATACGCATAGGCATCGGGACCGTAGCGTTGCCCTAGCTTCCCAACTTACGGATCTAGCTCCGACTTCCCTCACCTTAGGAGTCATTTGCATGATTCCCTTACCCATCACTTTCCTACCCTCTGCCGACCCTCACGCCCTAGTTAGGCAACCTCGCATGCTTCATCTAGGTTCGCCCAGTATATCAGGCTCCCTTGTTCCCTTGCATGGTTGACCCTCCATAGCGGTCACCCCTTTAGTCGAGCATTACCCCCCCTGATGGTCTATCTATTAGGGTCATTGGTTTTGTTCGCTCATAGTTCCCTACCCTCATTGAGCCTGATGACATTTGTCTCCCTGTTATTTTGTTTGGATGCCCTTAGGAGTTATCGACCCCTAGGCTGCATTCGCCACCCTCAGAGACCATCCCACCCTTTGGTTTGCGACACACTYCTCCTGTGACATATGGTTGACTTGTTGTTGCTTTGTTGCTCTCAGACTGAGGCTACTGCCTCTGACATTTCTAGGATTTAGTTGTTCTGCTTTTGCTGTTCTTAGGATTTATACACTACTCTGTTGTTTCTAGATTGAGGGTACTGTCTCCAACATTCGAGGACCTAGTTGTTATTACTTTCTGCTTTCCTATGACATGTATGCTAATTAGTTCCTTTTGCTTTCACTTAGGCTGTTAGTTGTGACATTGTTGTTTTTGTGATATTTGTTATCCTAGGTTGCATCGCATGGACTCAGCATGGAGCTTGCTCCTCATCCTAAACTACTCAGGTTTTCTTTTTCTTTGGTAGAGTTCTGCTTCTTGGCCGAAGCGTGCTTCAACAGAAAATTGTCGCCGGATTTCAACAAATTTTCATTTTCATTTCCAACTTTTTTAGCCCTCAAGGGTTGTGGCCAACTGTTGAAAGTGGGTGTTTGGCTGTGTTCAACTTCTTTTCAACATGTTTAACTTCTTCTCAACGAGTCCAACATGGATTCATACAGACCTCCAACATTTTTCCAACGAGTTTTCAACATGGTTGTTAACGTGTATTTTGACACATAATTAATTGTCGGGTATGTGCGAGTGCGTGTTGGTTCAATATTGAGGGTCACTCTTGTACAATTGTACGTTTTAATGACGTTATTTGACTCCGACTAATTTTTCTTCCAACCTTTTGCTTGTGTCGGATGAGTTGCACATATTGTTGTGGCGCATATCCATAATGTATGCGCAGTTTCATTGCATGTATGTATATATGTTGCAAGCAGTAAGTAGTCGTGTGTGTGCGTTTATGTTCAATACTGCGGGCGAATCTTGCACACGAGTGTGTTTTCGTGGCGTTATTTCACCCCCACTAACTATTGTGTCAACCTTTCACTCATATCGCTTAAGTTGCACGGTGGGTTGTATCACATATCCAAATTATATCTTGTCATCCTTCCATGCATGTACGAGGACTCACATCAGTAACCGACCGTATTCGGCACCGTGTGGGTCGAACTCGCACGTCAATTTTTTCAGAGGGGAGTTCATGCATATACAAAAACGGTGACATCATGTACATATCTATCTATCTATCTATCTACTATCTATTTATTTATCTATCTATCTATCTATCTATCTCCCTTAATGTTATTACCGTTTCACACGACTCACACTTATGATGATGTGGTTGGGAAGTGGGGGTCGTGTATTAAGACATTGTTGTTGTATTCCGCTGTAAGTGGTACCCAGTTCCCAACCGTGTAGGATGTGGGGTTTTCTTGTGTGTCTTTTTTGTACACATCGTATTGCAACAACATTAAGAAAAAATTGTGTTGATTTTCGGGTCAAGCCAATGTAAAAGTCGAGCACAATCACTATTACCGAAGGGCATACTCACACTAGGGGTCTAATTCTCAAAGTTGCAAAATCTGATGATGTTTTGCAGTCACACTTGACAAACAACGTAGTATTTGTCAGTGACCTGTGGCCGCGAGGCTTAGCAAATTGTGAGAACCTCTAGACGTCCTCGCAAACTCGCATTTGATTTAAAAAAAAAAGAAAAAAAAATCTCCACAGGCCAGAAAATGCAACTTTGTGCCTACTACGGTCCAAAATTGCTACGTTCGGTTGCCAACGGAACAATCATACAGCGCCTGTATCATTTTTGGCGTCATGCACAGCTGAATGCCCATGTGTAACGGGTTTGTCTGTAGTGGCGGAGTCCTTTCCGCCCCTAGGTGAGTTTCGTACCCGCTTACGCTGTGCTTCCGCCCTCCTCCGCAGTTTCTCCCCCCGTTCCCGCATGCGAATAGTCTAGCCCTCCTCAACATTAGTCAGGCCCTCAACAAGAATAAACGCAGATTCTGCTGCCCTCCGCGCGGTTTCAGGGCTTGAATGAACACATGTATGCGGGAAAGTGCAAAGAACTGTGCTGCCAACTCTTTTTCTACCAGGGCTTGAACAATGCGGGCAGGTGCAAAGAACCATGTTGCCAACTCTTTTTTCTGCCTTTCAGCAGATGGTAACATGGATTTGAGTGCTTGACCGATTGGAGCAGTACCACAGTGGTTGCGGTCAGGCGAAATTTGAAGTCATGACCGTGTGGGTCAAAACGTTATAGAAAAGGGGAAAAAAAAAAAAAAAAAAGACACATGAAAAGTCGAAAGCCAAATAAAAAATATTCCACCATCTGCTATCAGTTGTGTGACCACGCTGATACCAAATGGACCAATTTTCAAAAAGTCGGAGCGATGTCTCATTCACAAAGGTAGCGGTGTGTGAGCACGCACCACAGCTAAATCTCAAAATCGCAGTTGCGAAATTGCTAATTATGCAATTTTGCTATTCGTGTGTGAGTATGCCCTTAGAAGTTCTTAATTTCATTTTGTTTTATCTTTTACTACATTTTGCAGTAGATTTCATATGAAAACGTTGTTGGTCTATTACGGCGTAAGTGGCACCCACTTCCCAACCTTGTATAAATGTGAGTTTTTTTTATGTCTTTATTGTTCAAATTGCATCATATTTATAAACCGGTCTTCCACATACATTCGTGACGATATCGTTGAGAGGTCGGGGTCGTGTATTAACAAGTTGTTGTCGTATTCCACCATAAGTGACACATTGATTGCCAACTGTGTTGAAATGTTGCAGTTAGACAATTTGGTTCCTAAGTCATCTCTCTCTCTCTCTCTCTCTCTCTCTCTCTCTCTCTCTCTCTCTGTATATATATATATATCTGTCTATCTATCTATCTATCTATCTATCTATCTCTCTGTTATTGTCATGCAAATGAAAGAAGCAAGACATCACCGTTGATTAAGCCACCCGTGGACCGCGCAACGGTTTTGGTGTCGCCGCAAGCGAACAAGTCTGATGCAAATAAACGACTGCGAGAGTCAGCCTCCACCTCTCCCGCATTCATCAAGGATCGCATGCGATAGGAGCATTCTCCACCACAGGCGCAAAAAAAAAGGTCATGCAGACAAGGGAGTGAAGGACAACATCAGAAGAACATCACACATGCGAAGAGGAGGAGAACCATTGAGAAAGAATGGGAAGAGAAGGAGACAATCGATCTGAGGGGATCCAAAGGTGTCGAGGCAGTTGAGGGTGAAAAACGAGATGTGTCACGAGAGGCAGCAGGTAAGGCGAACAGGACCGACATTGAAGCATATGATGAGACAGAGGACGGTGAAGGAGGTAACACGGGCACATTCAACGAAGGACAATCATATGGAGAAGATGAGAGAAACGAAGAGGAGGACAGTGACAATGGGTATAACAACACACAGGATGGTGATGACGAGGATGAGGATGACGAAGAAGCATCCCAAAGCAGTAGGAGGGAAGAAAGGCGTAGCTCGGATGATAGAAAAAAAGCGTATCGAAAAACGGAAGGAGGAACAAGTAATGAAGGCAGGGAGGAAAGCAACGCCGACAAGCAGTTAGTTCTAAAGGAGAAGGTAATAGAAGGACGTAAGTAAACAATGTATGAGAAAAATCAAAACCTCAGACGGAAATGATCAGTTAACATGTTGTTTTACTTGACCTGTTGTCATCACCTGCTGGTAGTGCAAAATGGTAGCGAACTATAAACGTTTTTCGATAAGGAAATCTGAGATAGTCTTCAATATGTATGTGCAGTTGTGGTTGTTTCTCCTGCCGAACGAATGTATGTGAGTGACAGATACTAACTTCCAACTTCTTGTTGTTATACGCGTGGTTGCAGGCCGCCAGATTTTACAAGGAGGGAGACATTGTCAAAAGGAGGCGAAAAAAACAAGCATTGGGCGGGTGGCATGCGAGACGAATGCAACTTATTCGGAAAAAGGCAAAAAGACAGACTGTTGAGGTCCGTTGCAAAAGTTTTTGTGCACTCGACAGCGAGGGACGCAGCATTCTACCCTTCAGAGGACGACTTCTTCAATGCGTTGCAGTTGGCTGCTAACCTTTTAGGAGAAGATGTGAGGGTAGGATTGGGGAAGTATGTAGAGGACAATGGTGTGTGGTGTGTGCTTATAGAGTGCAACCGAATGATGACAATGGTCCGTGGAGAGCTGAGTTGGCACTTGAGACACCGATTTTCGGCAGAGAGAGGTTTCCCGCTCGTACGTGGCACGCAGTCGGATCACAATAACACCGCGCGAAACGAACTTCGTAGTCAAATGAATAAAGACAAGACATGGAGAAGGAAGGGCGACGAGTCATGGGGAGCAGAACATTTCAAGGGGGCACTCACAAAAGTCTTTCAAATAAGGAGGGACAATGGAAAGTTTGGCGTGACCTTGCAACAACTAGCGTTCACCGAACTCGTGATTCGCACA